TCCACAAACTATTTATATTTTTATTGTTATACCTCATTATTTATTTTTGGGTGTAATTTAAACCTTATACAATTTTGGATTAAATATTTTTGTGATATAAGAGTCTTTGGGTCAAAGGTCCTTCTTGGTCAAATGTCCTTGGGTGAAGTGCACTGGGTGAAATGTCTCGGGGCAAATGTCACTGGGCAAAATGGTTTTGGTTGAAACGGATTGGGTGAAACGTCCTGACGCCGGTCTAACTCATCCAGCAAGCATTCCATGCGAAACTTCTATGTTGTGAAATTGTTGCCAGGGAAAAGAGGTATCTTGTACCTTTCTTCTTCAGCGGCGCCAGTAGCCATGATTGAAACTTTCAACTTGATTAAACACGTGCACAGAGAGGTCAATAAACGCTAGCAGACAGACTGCGGCCCATAACCTGATAAATTCTATGACTGTTCCGGTTAGTGTTGGTCGGGAGAGGAGGAATGACCACTTCAGACTTCTGACACATAGAGAGTGATTTATTGGTATTAGATTTAGGAAGTAAACTTTGGAACAAGAACAAGACCAATGGTAGCCAATAAAACAAGAACATGAACACGAATACTGCTGTATATCTTGGCATGATATGTGCCGAAAGTTTCAGTCACCATCCTCATCAAGCCCAATCAAATGCATTAAGACACTAGCCTGTTTCTCCTTGTTCCATGCCGCGCGGGTTTCATTCAAGGAGATATGTCCCTCATACTGCCACTGAAACACCTTTCACTGACGTTCCAGGTCATCTCCCGGGACGAGGGGTTTGATGGGCTGATCCATCCTAACCTCCCCTCACACGTGGTCACACTACACATCCCTTTTCCCTCTTCGATAGAAAACCCTACTCGGGTGGGAAAGCTTCCTTGGGCTTTCCAACGGTCGGCTCTAGCCCACCAGCGGTTTTTCGCTGCTGCCTTGAAAGGAGTTCTCAGACTTCGTGCGTCTTCCTTGTCCTGCCACTAAACCGACTGCGCCATGTTGTATATCTTAGGATGATATGTGGTCGTAACTGGTTGAAGCCCTTAGGCCGGTGGAGCGACTAGCTTGATGTCTGCAGGCGAGGAGTAAGGAAGACTGACACTCAGTACAGTTCCATGAAGACTGGCTTATTGGATGTCGTGCAAGACCCTTCATAACATATGACAGGCAGTGGTGCCAACATGACAATACACAACAAATACCAACTTGAAGAACTTAAAGAACAAAATACCATTGTTGGCTAACTTTAACATAAATAAGGCACCGTTCGCTCCCGTCACGGATCCAGATTTCTTCAGAAGAGCCAGATCTGGACTAGGTTGATGCAGACTACCTCAGATCTGACCAGTTTAAATCAGATTACCCCAGACCCAGCAGTGCCTAACACCGAGCTCCCAGATTTCTCCATACATCACCAGATATTGACCGGGATACATCAGATATAATCAGATCTGATCAGGTTCAGTCGCCTTTCGAAATAAAATTTGGTCGTTCCTACTTTGATTAATTACTTATAATGTACATCGTTGGTACCACGTATTCACCCCCACCCCCTTCCACTACTCGACATGAACAGCAGCGCAAAAATTCAAACCTCGTCGGGATACCGTTTGCATGGTTGGCGTACCTGACATGTCCTAAGCGCCAAACACAGGTGAACTTCACTGTTTGTTGGTGATTTTTACTTCCCAAAATAAAGTAAAACCACGAAAATGTTTTCGAATAATAGGGATGAACAAGGTAAGTGCAAGTATCACATGGCCACAGACCCGGGTCTGTGCATATCTGTAATCAGGTAAGTTTGACTGTACTGGAGTAGCAACTTAGTACGTTGAAATGTGCGCCGCGCTGGCTGGCGAAGCTATCTCCTCTGAAGCCAATTAATGTGCTTAGAAATCTCACCCACTCAATTTTTGAAAGCCTGGTCTACTGCAACTAATGATGCCCGCGTTTTGAGTGTAGCATCATTCAAACCGGAGCTACGACGCCTGGAACGCCGCAGACCCGTTGCACTGAAACAAATGCTGATAATGCCTGACACTGCAGTGAATATCATATGTTGAATTGAAAAATTGCAGGAGTACAGCCATTGGAAAGTGTTGGACATGAAGTAATTCCTCCAGAAATTGAGGAAGACCCTTCGTATATGCAGGATGCAAGATACATCCCGAATTCTGTCAATTCCTCTAGGAAGGCACCACCCTCTGTCCTCTCAGCAAATAAAGACGGTGAGAAATATTCAATAATACACTAACTGATGATTTTGCCTCACATTGCAATTCTTAATTGGTTAATGTAACATTTATAGGTGCATTTCAGTCCACTCCCATTATTAAAGATGCCAGGAGAAAGCTGTTATGTAATGCCGATCATTTTGCTGCTGAAATAGGAGTGATTGGTAATTAATTTTGCTAAACCTGCTTTTGTTTTTCTGTTGTATGATTCTGCTGGACAAGTCTCTCCTTTTCAGAACCAGTCATCTGTGTTGAAACACCACCTCCAAGGAAGAAAAATGGCAGTTCAAAGAAGTCAATTTCTTTTCCTAGTAAGTATCATTCATCATTTAAGTTCAAGGCTACTTTTTCTCATTTTGAGTGTAACTGAGATCTTTATTGTGTAGGCCCTCAAGCTTCCCCTAAAAGAAAACAAATTGTACTAAGAACCCTTCAATGGCCAGCAAATGCTGTACAAGCGCTAGTTTTGGAGTGTGTGACATTGAAGGAGTCCGTGCAAGTGGAGGTAGAGAAAATGAGGATGGCGACTGAAACTTTCGGCCGCCAGGATCGCTAGGAGCACTGGTCGCCTAGCGCGCCGCCGGCCGGGCGGAGCGTGTGTGAGCATAAACTAAAATTGCATTCTTGGGTACTTAACTCAAACAAAGTACATCGACCATTACATCAAAATAAAGGCGAAAGTGTGAGGATTACAACGGTATAGTTCCTTATGTGATCGAAGTCCTTGTACTCGATCAGGGCCGTTTGGCAAAATGGGCTGTTTTCCGAAATCACTAGAGCTTTTTCAACCCGTATTTTCTCATGCAAGGAGACGAGCTATCAACCTACATAAAGCGAGCCGATTTTCCGCCTGACTTTAAACTTTACATTCCTTTTTGCCGCTCTTTGATACGACTTCTGGTTTTCGAGAACGAAGCTCATATCTGCGCGCATGTCGGTCCGGGCCGCAGCCGTCTTCCGCAGGACGCTATTGCCCGCTATGGGCCGCGCGCATGAGTGTACCCTCCATCCCCCACCAAATGTTCATCTGGGCACATGACTTCCTCACGTCTTGCTAATAGGTCAGCAAACACCGCACTCCTCCTGAACACTCTCCTGTCGTGAATGCTCCCAACCTCTTCAACATGCACATCTCTTACGAGTAGATTGTTGTCTACAATGGCCTGCACATTCATGCTGTAAGTGCGATACCTGTTCGGGTACTGAACAGCATCTTCAACTGGAGCAGTGATATAGATGTGGGTACCATCCACACAGCCAACTGCACCAGGAAATCCTGAGACTCGATTGAAAACTTCCTTAATTTCCCCCCTTTCAGCTGCGTTTGGCCACTTAATGTACTGTGGAGACATATGCCTCAAAGCATCAAGTACGTAAACATAAAATTTGTAAAGGGTGCTCGGAGAAACTTTGGACCTCAGAGAAGACACTTCGGAAGGAGTCAGGTGTGGCTAACAGCCACACCACCATGAGCACTATGTCTTGCATTGGTTTGCGTTCCCTCAGTATTTTGTTTCTTCCAGCAAGGTTGTTACCTATGGCATCCACAAGAGCCTGTAGAAAAAATATTCATAACTTTACTGAAAAGAAACTCGTGTAATGTCAATTTCACAAACAGAATTGAAAATTACAAACCTCAGGAACCCTTCGAGACATCCTGAAGTGCATTTTGAAACAAGGATCCGGGATTTGGTGGGACTCATTTATGTGCACAGTGGCATGCACCTAAAGATTCTCTAAAATAAACGCACTTTTCAGTTTACAAGTTAACATGTTTACTAGCACTGAATCAAGTCTCATACTGTACCTGGCAATATCTCTTCCTCCTGATCCATACTTTCTTCAACAATTATTTGAGCTGCAGCCAACATTAATTGATCGAAATCCTGCTCT